CTGCCATTGGCCCAACCCCCGGCGGCGCCACGCCCACACAACCGGCCCCGCCCTGCCGGCCGCAGGCGCTGCCCTGACTCACTTCCTGCCGCTCAGCCAATGACGGGGCCGGACGGGGAAAGGGGCGGGGCCAGGGCTACGTGAGGCAACGTGACCGGGGTGGGGACCCCCCGGACAGGGACCCCGGGATGGGCACAGGGACCCCCGGGAACGGGAACCCCCCGGACAGAGCCCCGGGATGGGGACAGGAACCCCGGGAACGGGAACCCCCCGGACAGGGACCAAACTGATAATGGGGTGAGGCTGAGGAAGAAAGACCCCCCTGCCGAGCACCTTCGGTTTCAGCTCAGGGCTCAAACGGAGCCCTACGGGATTGAGCTGATCTGCATCAATTCCAAGGATTGGTGGGAGGGGGGAATTGAGGCCCTGCTTTATTTCTGAATGATAAAAATTAAAGGAAAAAATACATCTGGGGTTTTATTAACAGGGAAACACACCCAAAAACAGGGAAAACACAGCAAAATCCCAGCCAGAAACTGACTTTGGTTGTAAGAAAAATAATAACAAAAGTTTGGGAAATGGAAACTCCTGCTGGCTCTGGCTGTGGAATTTGTTGGGAATAACACCAATTCCAAATCCAGCATCAGAGCTCTCCCAGGAGAGTGCAGGGAAGCGAAATTCTTCCGTGGTGGGAGCCGTGTCCCAGTGTCAGGCGATGAAATCCAGGGGCCTGTTGAATCCTCCTTTTCTGTTCATGTATTGCCTGGGTGAGGACAGAGCCAGAGTCAGCCCTGGGATCAGGGAAATGAGGAGAAAAGAACTGGGGGAGGCTGGGAACGCGGCTCAGTGGCTACAGGGGAACCAAATTCCCAAAAAAAGAGCAGGAAGGCTCCCGGTGAGGATGAGCTCTGACTGTGTGAGGATGCCAGGTTCCCATCAGAAAGGGAGCAGAATTGACAAACTGGGAAAAACTGTGTTTTTTTTGGGAATAAACCAGGTGAAGAGTGTCGCTTCCTGCTGCTCTGATCCTGTTCAGGCCTCACTGGGCACATCCCACCTCTTCCTAACGTGCTCCCCACTCCTCATCCTCCTGACTTCTCTGTTCCCAGGGGCACCTGGAGAACTCTCACCTCTGCTTTTGAGTCTAAACCTCACAAAATTTCTGTTTTCCCCAGGCCTGGAAGCTGGACCACCGTGAGACAGCGGCCAGAGTTACCCCACAAAATAAAATCTTCTTTCTATCCCAAAGGAGGGGACACACACCTGTACTTCCTCTTCTGGGACACATTGATGGCGTAGGCATTGGCAGCGCCATCCACCTTCTTCCCCTGAGGAGAAACGTCCCAAAATCTCACGGATTACCCCCAAACAGGGCAGGTGACACCACAGAGCCCCTGGAGTGGTCTCTGGTCTGTGCTCACCTTGGTGGTATCAAAGGAGGCAAAACCCATCATCTTCATCATCTCGATCTCCTCCTCTGTCTTGCCCTGCAAATCTTCCTCTTTGGGAAAAGTCAGGGATTGAGCAAACACAGAGGTTGGGATTCCCAATAATCTGGGTGGTCCTGGGCTGGTCCTGGCCCTGCAGGGCATCTGGGAGTGTTCCGAGAGGAAAACTCCCCCTCACCTGTGATCTGCCGCTCCTTCTTGGAGTCCTTGAGCTCCTTCTTCTCCTCATCCCGACGCTCCTTGGGCCGCGCCGGCGATGAGGAGCTGGAGCGGTGCCGGCGTGGGGACCTGCTGGGGCACACGAGGTGGGGCTGCAATTCCCACCTGGGACTCCCACTGTCCCTGGGTCACCCAGGATGCCCTCAGCTAGTTGTCCCCACCCCATGCTGGTGTCCCTCCCCTCACCTGCATCATCCTGAATGTCCCTGCCATCTCCTGGATCATCCTGAATGTCCCTTCCCTCACCTGGATCATCCTGAATGTCCCTGCCACCACCTGGATTTTCCTGAATGTCCCTGCCATCTCCTGGATCATCCTGAATGTCCCTTCCCTCACCTGGATCATCCCTGCTCTCACCTG